CACCTATAATCCTAGCTACTCCGGAGGCTGAGGCACGAGAAACGCTTGAACCAAGAAGGTGGCACATATTGCAGTGAGCTGAGATTGTGCCACTGCTCTCCAGGCTGGGTGACAGAGCAAGATTCTGCCTCAAAAAAAAAAAAAAAAAAAAAAAAAAAGCCGGGTGCGGTGGCTCAAGCCTGTAATCCCAGCACTTTGGGAGGCCGAGGCGGGTGGATCACGAGGTCAAGAGATCGAGACCATCCTGGTCAACATGGTGAAACCCCGTCTCTATTAAAAATACAAAAAATTAGCTGGGCATGGTGGTGCGTACCTGTAATCCCAGCTACTCAGGAGGCTGGCAGGAGAATTGCCTGACCCCAGAGGTGGAGGTTGCGGTGAGCCGAGATCGCGCCATTGCACTCCAGCCTGGGTAACATGAGTGAAACTCCGTCTCAAAAAAAAAATGGCTGAGCATGGGAGCTCACGCCTGTAATCCCAGCACTTTGGGAAACTGAGGTGGATGGATCACAAGGTCCGTAAATTAAGACCATCCTGGCCAACATGGTGAAACCCCGACTCTACTAAAAATGCAAAAAATTAGCCAGGCATGATGGCATGCGCCTGTAGTCCCAGCTACACTGGAGGCTGAGACAGGAGAATCACTTGAACTTGGGAGGCAGAGGTTGCAGTGAGCCGAGATGTGCCACTGCAGCCTGGGGGGGGGGGGGGGGGGAGAGAGAGAGAGAGAGAGAGAGAGACTTCGTCTCAAATAAATAAATAAATAAATGAAAGCACACATAGCAGGCATAGCAGGCAGACACCCAATACGGGCTCTGCCTTCCCTCCCCTTCAGCCTTTCAGTTGACAGTGCCTTCTTCACAAGGATCCATCTTCCCAACAAATGGGGAAGTTTAGCAGGGTGGGTATGGCACATTTTCCAGAGAACAGCATAAGCTCGATTCACAAATTGAATAACTTTTTTATGTTAAAAAATATTTTGATCTGCCTGAAAACAAAACCAAATAATATCATTTCATCCTGGTCCATTTTTTTCCACACTAAAAATTGTCACAGCCTAATTTTTATCTTATTTAGAGATTTGCTAAAAGTTCAGTCAATATTCTTACTGTTATGTTAAAGGAGCTAGTTCTAGAAAAGGACAATTAACTGATCTGTATCTTAAGATAATCAACTTTTTATTTGTTTAAAGACTTCTAACCTTAAATCTTGTTTTCTTGCAAATGCTGTAGAGCAATCCATTGCTCTAGATCAAAACAGAGGAGTAAAACGAAGCAAAATGCAATTTAAATATTTGGAAGGTTCTGAAATTTGTCATGAAGATGCAAATATCAACTTGAAGAACAAGTTGCATTCTATTACAGTAAACTACACTCAACCTACAAATAATTTTCTTTTTTTTGAGACAGGGTCTGGTTCTATCACCCAGGCTGGAGCACAGTGGCACAATCCCAGCTCACACAAACTCTGCCTCCTAGGTTCAAGTGACAAGTGATTCTCCTGCCTCAGCCTCCCAAGTAGCTGGGACTACAGGTGCGCGCCACCACATCCAGCTAATTTTTGTATTTTTAGTAGAGATGGAGTTTCACCATGTTGGCCAGGCTGGTCTCAAACTCCTAACCTCAAGTGATCCGCCTGTGTTGGCCTCCAAAGTGTTGGGATTACAGGCATAAGCCACCATGCCCAGCCTACAAATAATTTTGTTTTAGAATTCACTCCTAGTGAATAGTGAAAAGAGGACTTCCCCTTCCCCATCATAATCCCCAGCCAAGTTGCAGGAGCAGGTCCCCCATATATACCATCCTCCCGGCCATCCTTCACTTTTTTTTTTTTTTTTTTTTTTGAGACACAGTCGCACTTTGTCCCTAGGCTGAAGTGCAGTGGTGCGATCTCAGCTCACTGCAACCTCTGCCTCCCAGGTTCAAGTGATTCTCCTGCCTCAGCCTCCCGCGTAGGTGGGACCACAGGTGGGCACCACCACGTCCAGCTAATTTTTGTATTTTTATTAGAGACGGGGTTTCCTCATGTTGGCCAGGATGGTCCTGATCTCCTGACCTCCTGATCCGACTGCCTCGGCCTCCCAAAGTGCTGGGATTACAGGTTTGAGCCATGGCACCTGGTCCATCCTTCCTTCTTAAATGCCTAGATCTTCTTAAACATAGCAATGTTGTATTTTACCTGAAATCTGTGACTGAGACCTGAAATTTTGAACTGAAGGGTTTATTTGGATGCTTCAGGTCTTCCTTTTCTTGCAAGGTGAAATTTCAAAAGCACCAATGACTAATACCTGTAACAAGGAGAAGGTTGAGGTCCACTCTACTCTCCATTCTTAAATCATTATCCAAAGCTACCTTTTAATGGCCATGCTTTCTTCCTACTAAAGCCATATTTCCTATGGTAAAAATCCTGCAGTACTCTATACAATCTGTTTTTTAGCAGCATCTGTTGAATGAGTGAGCCACTTTGGATTTTCTTTTCTTCTTTTTTTAAATAAAGACAGGGTTTCTCCATGTTGGCCAGGCTGGTCTCGAACTGCTAACCTCAGGTGATCCACCCGCCTTGGCCTCCCAAAGTGCTGGGATTACAGGCTTGAGCCACCGCGCCTGGCCTGGATTGTTTTCTTTGTGAGAGGAAAAGTAATAGCACCAGTGTGTTAATGAGAGGTAGAACCAGAAGAATGACAGCTCAAATTAATGTTGCTTATGTCATCAACTGAAATTTCCAAAGCTTGTTTAAATTAGTACCATCCAAAACTCAGAATAGTTTGCTAAATTTATACCCTTGGAACTGGAATAGGCACTGGGCATTCCAGGGTGGGGTGGGTGGGCTTCAGTATCTGCAGCTAGCTCTTCTTTTTGGGAGGAACCTGGAGTTCTGCATGTCTGCCTTGGTGGAGGAGGTGGCCACAAGCTGGTTCTAGGAGACCCTGATTCCACAGATGGTTACCAGGTGAACACAATGCCTGCCCTCCCCCTCCATCAACTTGGGGAGCTGAACTGGGGCTGGCTGCTATCTTGCCCTTACCCACCACTATCCCTTGTGATCCCTCTTTCTGGTCTCCAAGACCCTGCCCTTTGGCTGCACCTCATGTCCTTTCAAGGCTGCATTGGGGCATCCTGGAGGGCTACAGAGGCACACCCTCATTTACCCTCTCACAGATAATCAGAAAGGTCAGCTTGGCACAAGGCTGTCATTTGACAGATGTGAAACATTTGCTAAAAAAGATGTAATGGTTGGGCGTGGTGGCTCATGAGGTCAGGAGTTCAAGACCAGCCTGACCAACATGGTGAAACCCTGTCTCTACTAAAAATACAAAAATTAGCTGGGTGTGGTGGTTCGTGCCTGTAATCCCAGCTACTCAGGAGGCTGAGGCAAGAGAATTGCTTGAACCTGGGAGGTGGAGGTTGCAGTAAGCCAAGATTGCGCCATTGCACTCCAGCCTCCAGCCTGGGCAACAAGAGCAAAACTCTATCTCAAAAAAAAAAAAAAAAAGGACATAGTGGAAAGCCCTTTTTTGAGACAGAGCCTTGCTCTGTCACCCAGGCTGGAGCGCAGCCGTGGGATCTCAGCTCACTGCAACTTCTGCCTCCCAGTTCAGGCAATTTGTCTGCCTCAGCCTCCCGAGTAGCTGGGACTACAGGCATGTGCCACCATACCCGGCTAATTTTTTGTATTTTTAGTGGAGACAGGGTCTGCCTCCCTGGCCTCCAAAAGTGCTGGGATTATAGGTGTAAGCCACTGAGCCCGGCCACTACTTAATATTTAATAATCAAGGTTTATATTGCTATTCAAATTTGTGTCATCTTTAGGTAAACATCTCCTGGCCTCTCTTTTTTCCCTGTAAAAGCAAGCTGGGGTGGCTGGGCACAGTGGCTCACACCTGTAATTCCAGTACTTTGGGAGGCTGAGGCGGGCAGATCACATGAGGTTATGAGTTCAAGACCAGCCTGGCTAACATGGTGAAACCCTGTATCTAGTAAAAATACAAAAATTAGCTGGGCATGGTGGTGCACGCCCATAATCCCAGCTATTCGGGAGGCTGAAGCACAAGAATTGCTTGAATCTGGGAGGCAGTGGTTGCAGTGAGCTGAGATTGTGCCATTGCACTCCAGCCTGGGCTACAGAGCAAGACTCCATCTCAAAAATAAAATAAGGCCAGGCATGGTGGCACAAGCCTGTAGTCACAGCACTTTGGGAGGCCAAGGTAGGTGGATCACGAGGTCAGGAGTTCAAGACCACCCTGGCCAACACAGTGAAACCCTGTACTGAAAAAAAAAATACAAAAATTAGTCCGGTGTGGTGGTACGCACCTGTACTTGGGAGGCTGAAGCAGGAGAACCGCTTGAACCTAGGAGTCGAAGGTTGCAGTGAACTGAGATCACACCACTGCACTCCAGCCTAGGCGACACAGTAAGACTGTCTCTAAATAAATAAATAAATAGCCAGGTGAGGAGGCTCACGCCTGTAATCCCAACACTTTGGGAGGCTAAGGCGGGAGGATCATGAGGTCAAGAGATGGAGACCATCCTAGCCAACATGGTAAAACTCCATCTCTACGAAAAATACAAAAATTAGCCGGGCATGGTGGTGCACGCCTGTAGTCCCAGCTACTCGGGAGGCTGAGGCAGGAGAATCACTCGAACCTGAAAGGTGGAGGTTGCAGTGAGCCGAGATTGCGCCACTGCACTCCAGCCTGGGTGACAGAGTGAGACTCCATCTCAACAACGACAACAGCAACAATAAATAAATAAATAAAAATGTTGGGGCAAGGTGATCATGGCAACTTTACAGAGTGTACTCATTTGACTCTAACAAACTTATGACCCAAAGCAGTTATGAACATCTTCATTTTACAAGTGTGGAAAATACCACTCAGGTTAGAGCAACTGCCCAAAGTTCTGCAGATAAGAGAAGATACAGCACTGACTCCTCAAGCACTGCTACATACCCCCTTCCTGTATCTCTTTGGGTTGACAAAGAGATAAAGATGAAATCATACACTCATTTAATTAAATGTTTATTCAATGAAAGGATGTATAAAAACTTACAAATTTGAGAACTCAACTATACATGAAATAGGACGATGGGATATTCAGTTTTTAACATATACATACAGCATAGCTATCAGCTATTCTCCCCTTCCCCTTCAGTCCTTATTTCTGGCTCCTGTTTTGTCCTGTGAGGCCCTTCTTTTATTTGGCCTAAGGGAAGATTAATGAACAATTTTTACTGCTTTTGGGCCAATGGAGAAAATTTCAGGCATTAAAAAAGAAAAAAAAAAAAACCTGGAGAATAAACATCAAAATCAAGTATTTTTCCCAAACAGCAATTAGATTTTTCTGTCCTGATTTCTCTTTGCCATTTATTTTTGATGCCTCAATTAATGTTGCCAGTAAACTATCAGCATTGACTGTTTCAGTCATTAAAGTTACTACCTCTTCTGCTCACAAATTCCCCCGTAAGATGAATATTCCTATATCCTTTTCCCTGAAGCATATGCACTGATTTAAAAGTTAGTGTAAAACAAATTATCACTGGCAGCTGCTAGAAAATGGCAGGTCATTTTCTATTCAGAAAGACAATTATAGAATTGTACATTCAAATTTGATTTTTAAAACAAATTTGTCAGAAACGAAAATACAGCATTTTGTTGTTGCTCAACTTGGAAAGAAGCCAGCAATGAGATAAGGCAAGTGCATTCATTCACCTGTTTAGAGCAAGCACCACGCATTTTTCTCTTACAAACACACAAACTCACAGCTTGTCATGTTGTATGCAAAAATTAAGATTGCCATCACATTATTATTTTTTTCCTTTGTGTTTTGTTAAAGTGGATTTCTTAAGTAACGATTTTTCTTAAGTAGACATAATCTCAAAGGATGCATTCTGAAGTAAGACACCTGGAGGATGAATTCTAAGAACGTTTTCTTGGGTTTAAAGTTTCCCCGCACCTTCTAGATTTTGCATAGTACAGAGCCCAGCTGTATTTCTGAGAAGCACGCTGTATTTTCTGACATTGTTTTTCTGAGAAGACTTTTTACCCAGGGAAAGTCATAATTTTAGCTTACCAAATTGGATTCCAGTTGTTTTATTGTGTACCCTTCATTAGTTCCAAGTATGCTTTTAAATAATCTAAAACCTGTCAAAATCTGTTTGAGTTTATAAATATAATGACCATTATCTTTCCAATATCCCCTGCATGAAAGTCGATACATTCCAGGTTTATAATGCACAAAGCCTTGACAGAGGTGGGGCTAGGAGGCGGAAAAGGGGAAGAGGAGAAGGGAACAAGGACCTGTTTGTATCATGCCATGGAGAACTATAGTCCTGAATTCAGGGAAGGGAAGGAAGACAGTCTTTGTAAAAATGACAGTTTTTTAAAAAGATAAGTGACATTCAGTCTAGTAAGACGGTTTCCTGTTCCTTTTTGATGGAAGCTAACACTGGGTGGTCAGGCTCCGTTACTTCGGAGTCCCCACTGCCCAGGAGAATGGATCGCCCTTCATCTAGGGCAAAGACGTCCGAGTTCTGGTTTTGGCATGAATGTTTAACAACCTCATTGGGAGTGGAGAATGTTTTGTCACACAAGTTGCATTTGTAGGGTTTGTTGGTTTGCACCAGCATGTTGTCCATCTGACTCCCTTCCTCAAATGTGCAGAGTTCCAGAGTCTGTTTGTCTACCATGGTGTAGGTGTCAATGCTCTGGTTGAGGCACACGTGGCGGGCAGCCTGGTTGGCCCTGCAAAAGCTTTTGTCACAAGTGCTGCACTTGAAAGGCTTCCCGGTGTGTATGTACATGTGCTCCCTCCAGTGGCTTTTCTGGATAAATTTGCGTCCGCATATCGTGCACTCATACTTCCGCCTCTTCACCTCTCTCTCCTGGTCGGCCTGCTCCAGGTTGTCAATGTCAGCAATGTCTGAGGGGGGTGGGGTTTCCGACTGCTGCTGCCCATCGATGATGGGCGAATCGGAGATGTGCTGCAGCTCACTGTCACTTATCATCCCGGCTTCAGGCACTTCCATGGCATCTTTCCCGAGGTCAGCTGCATTGCTACAGAGAGTCAGGGAGACACGGCTTTCTCCCTGTTGGCTGGACGTGAAAGGTACTCCTGTGTGGATCTGGAGGTGTTCACGTAAGCTGCTCCGGAGGGTGAAGCGCCGTCCACACAGGTGGCAGGCATAGTACTTTGGAAAGCTCCCGTTCCTCTTCATGATGCTTGGCTTGACGTGGGCTATTGTGAGGGTCGCAGGCTGCTCATCGGAGGAAGATGCTTCCAGATTGGTCTCCTCCCCGGGAGGAGGGGGAGGAACAGGAGTGGAAACAAGTTCTGGAGACAGTGAGGTCTGCAGGGGGTCTGAGGCAGTCATATTTGTCCGATTCACCTGGGCCAGGTTTGAAGTCAGCTGGGAAAGCTGTGAGGCCTCTGGGACGGGCTCCTGGCTTATCCTGGAGGTCTGTGGCCTTGGATCTCGCCCAAGTTTTTCAGGTGCTGAAGCAATCTTGGTGGCTTGTCTCAGCTGATGATCTGCAATCTGAATGCCATACAATGAAGAAGCCAGTGGGAAAACTTGGTCAGGGTGAGAAAAGGCTCCCTGGCTGGCGAGGCTGGCTTCCTGGATGAGCGGGTAAGCGTGCAGAAACTTGATTCCCTGTTCTAATCGAACCGGGTCGATGAGCTGAGGCGCCATCTTCCCAGTGTACATCAAGTGTAAGAGATAGCTGAAGATGTCGGGCTGTATATCAGTTGGTTTCAAACGGACACACTCACTGAAAGAAACAAGTAAAAAAATCTGAATAAATGCCAGTCTAGGTAATAATATAAAGCCTGACAAAAAAATTGAACAATTAAAAACATAGAAAACAAGAACATTTCCTATCCTTCACTGTTAGTAAGTTTCATGAAATGGGTTGAAATAATCAAGAGATGAAGTTCATGTTAAATAAATGTGACATTGTAATCTACAGATTCTTAGAGCAGTTTTTCTCCTAGTAAGCTAAATTAATCTTTTATTTTTTATTTTTATTTATTCATTTATTTTGAAACAGAGTCTAGGTCTTGTCACCCAGGCTGGAGGCCTCCACCTGCCAGGTTCCAAGCAATTCTCCTGCCTCAGCCTCCCGAGTAGCTGGGATTACAGGCGCCCACCACCATGCCTGGTTAATTTTGTATTTTTAGCAGAGATGGGGATTCACCATGTTGGCCAGGGTGGTCTCAAATTCGTGACCTCAAGCAATCCATCCACCTTGGATTCCCAAAGTGTTGGGATTTACAAGCATGAGCCACTGTGCCTGGCCAAGTTAAATTAAGTATTATGTATTCTGTTTTTATTCAGAACTTCAGGAGTTCCTTATCAAATGCCACCAACAACATCAGCACTGCTTCTGGGATTTACAGGGATTCTTTCTCACTGGATTGTCATTCATTCTCATTTTACAGGAAAGGATTAAGGTTTAGAGGGGTTAATAAGCTGCTCAATATCACGTAGTTGATAAGTGGTAGAACTGGTATTTGAACTTATGTTTGTCTAATTCCAAATCCACTACAGCAAGATCCTTTAGAGAATCAAAACAATCCTGTGTGGTAGATAAGGTGGATTTATTAAGTCCCATTTGACAGATATGCAAACTGAGGTCCCAAAAAGTTGAGTGATTTATCTAAGGCACCTAATGCAGTTGATGATGCTGTTGATTTTACAGCTTTAGACTCGACTGCTTCTATCATTTCAGAAACATCATCCTGATGAAGCAGCAATGATGAAGAGGTTCCCAAGAACTCTTCCCAGGACATCAGTACTAACAAATTCTAATGCATCATTAGAAATCAATGAGGTCTATATCCACATCACAAGACACACATTATCTTCCACTGAGTGGATATTTTATAGACAATGCACTTCAAATTCAAAGACAGCTTCCTTGAATGCTTTTAGAATTTATAACTTTCTTTTATGATACTACTTTTTGTATTGTAACTTTATTTGGCTCTTTTGGCAATCATGTTCATTTTACTAACAAATATTTTCTTTTCTTTCTTTTTTTTTGAGATGGAGCCTCTGTCACTGAGTGACAGAGACTGAAGTGCAGTAGCACACTCCCAGATCACCACAGCCTCTACCTCCCAGGTTCAAGCAATTCTCCCACTTCAGCCTCCCGAGAAGCTGGGATTACAGGTGTGTGCTATCACATCTGGCTAATTTTTCTAGTTTTAGTAGAGACAGAATTTCGCCACGTTGGCCAGGCTGGCCTCAAACTCCTGACCTAAGGTGATCCACCTGTCTTGGGCTCCCAAAGTGCTGGGATTACAGGCGTGAGCAACTGCATTTGGCCAATATTTTCAACATACTGAAATATTAACAGCATATCACGCTCTTCTAAATTTAACATTTTTATTCCATTAAAAAAAGAAAAATTGACCAGGCGCGGTGGCTCATGCCTGTAATCCCAGCACTTTAGGAGGCCAAGGTGGGAAGATCACCTGAGGTCAGGAGTTCAAGACCAACTTGGCTAACATGGCAAAACCCCACTTCTATTAAAAATACAAACAATTAGCCTGGCATGGTGGCGTGCCTGTAATCCCAGCTACTCAGGAAGCTGAGGCAGGAGAATCGCTTGAACCCAGGAGTTAGAGGTTTTGGTGAGCAGAGATCACGCCATTGCATTCTAGCTTGGGCAACAAGGGCAAAACTGTCTCAAAAAAAAAAAAAAAAAAAAAAAAAAAGATACACAGATCATTCATGTTTTTATTTGGAGTCCTTTTATATCCCTTTAAATAGGAATGCAAATACAGGTAGTCTTCGGATGGCTTCCAACAATACCATGTGTATACTGTAACACATTTAGATGCCGTGGGGAAGTTCAATATTCAAAACAGAGCTTCAGGGATTTTGTGTGCCGAAAAATTTACTAATGCAAATAATAAACTCCCAAGTGAAGAAATGACCAGGGGAAACTTTTCCAGGATCAGGCGGGCAGAGGAATTGGGGAACCAAAGGCCTTAGAGACGCAAGTTACACCCTTTCTTCTGCCGAGATGAAACATTCCTCAAGGGAGAAGGAGGGGATAGAGCAGGGAGCCTGCAGCCAACTTTCTTCCCCCTCAAAAAGGGAAGGGTAGGGGCCAGGCACGGTGTCTCATGCCTTTATTCCCAGTACATTGGGAGGCCAAGGCGGGAGGATCGTCTGAGCCTAGGAGCTGAAGACCAGCCCTGGGGAACATGGCAAGACCATCTCTACAAATAAATGGGGAGGAAAAAAAAAACCAGCCTGAGCAACATGGTGAAACCCTGTCTTTAGAGAAAAATACAAAAATTAGCTGGGTGTATTGGCACATGCTTGTAGTTCCAGCTACTTGGGGGCACTGAGGCAGGAGGATGGCTTGAGCCGAGGAGGTCGAGGCTGAGGCTGCAGTGAGCTGTGACCATGACCGTGCCACTGCACTCCAGGTGGGGTGACAGAGGGAGCCCCTCTCTCAGAGGAAAAAAAAAAAAAAAAAAAAAAAAGGAAAGGTAGAAATCCAAAGAAGGCTTTGATTTTTAGCATCCATGAAATGTACTAACAAGCAGAGTCCCTTTTCAGAACAATTTTGTTGTGAGTTTTTTGTTTTTTATTTTGAGATGGAGTCTTGCTCTGTTGCCCAGGCCGGAGTACAGTGGCACAATTTTGGCTCACTGCAACCTCGGCCTCCCAGGTTCAAGTGATTCTGCCTCAGCTTCCCAAGTAGCTGGGATTACAGGTGCCTGCCACCAGGCCCAGATAATTTTTGTATTTTTAGTAGAGACGGGTTTCATTGTGTCGGCCAGGCTGGTCTTGAACTCCTGACCTCAAGTGATCTGCCTGCCTCAGCATCCTGAAGTGCTAGAATTACAGGCATGAGCCACCACGCCTGGCTGACTTTGGTGTAAATTTTGTAATTTTTTTTCTCATTGTTGGATAGGCTGTCCTGTCTATCACTTGTGAATGGTGATTCAACAGTAAGCCTCTCAAATCTGAAAGAATTTTGTACTGTCTCTGGTGGCAAAAAAAGGACATAGCTGGGGAGACCATGGCCTACACTTCAGGCGGGTCTGGAGGGAGGACTCCAAAGGGCCAAGGAAAAGAAAGCAGCAAGTCCCTGCGGTTTACAGCCAGGCATCCTAGGGTCTAGGGAGGTCTCCAAACACCAATTTATTTTGATTAAAAAAAAAAAAATTCTTTAAGAGATGGGGTCTTGCTTGGAAGGCCCAGGCTGGAGTGCAGTGGCGTGATCATAGCTGACTGTGGCCTCAACCTCTCAAGCTCATGCGATCCTCCTGCCTCAGCCTCCTGAGTAGCTGGGACTATAGGCATATGCCACCACACCCAGCTAGTTTTTAAACTTTTGTAGAGATAGGGTCTCACCATCTTGTCCAGGTGGGTTTTGAACTCCTGGGTTCAAGAGATCCTCCTGCCTCAGCCTCCCAAAGTGTTGAGATGGCAGCACGAGCCATTGCATGTAGCCTTAAATTTTTTCTTTTTTATTTTTTTAAAGCAGGAGCACATGTGCACACATACACTTAAAAAACAGGTGGAGGCCAGGCATGGGGGCTCACGCCTGTAATCCCAGCTACTGGGACGGCACTTCAGCCTGGGCAACAAAAGCGAGCCTCTGTCTCAAAAAAAACAAAAAAGGTGGAATTTTTCCAAGTTTCTTACTGTATATTTCAGCTCTCTCCATCCCTGACTGCTTTTATTCCCAGGCAGCTGACCTCTGTCAATCACTCAGCTCACTATGGGCCAGATTTTGGTCTTCTCCCAGTCTTTTGGAAAGGACTTACATCTAAGTGGTTTGCAGATATGTTTGACGTAACACTTTTTTTTTTTTTTGAAACAGAGTTTTGCTCTTGTTGCCCAGGCTGGAGTGAAGTGGTACAATCTCAGCTCACTGCAACCTCTGTCTTCCTGGTTCAAGGGATTCTCTTGCATCAGTCTCCCCAGTAGCTGGGATTACAGGCACATACCACAATGTCCTGCTAATTTTTGTATTTTTAGTAGAGATGGGGTTTCACCATGTTGGCCAGGCTGGTCGACATAACACTTTTTTTTTTTTTTTTGAGATGGAGTTTTGCTCTTGTTACCCAGGCTGGAGTGCAATGGCACGATCTCGGCTCACCGCAACCTCTGCCTCCTGGGTTCAGGCAATTCTCCTGCCTCAGCCTCCTGAGTAGCTGGGATTACAGGCACACACCACCATGCCCAGCTGATTTTTTGTATTTTTAGTAGAGACGGGGTTTCACCATGTTGACCAGGATGGTCTCGATCTCTTGACCTCGTGATCCACCCGCCTCGGCCTCCCAAAGTGCTGGGATTACAGGCGTGAGCCACCGTGCCCGGCGACATAACACTTTTATGTAGGAAAAAGATGAACATAATGTTATGGTACAAACTTCCATAGTAATTTCCATTTCCAATTATTCCTTCAATCGAATTTTAAAAGAAATGATAGGCTTAAACAAGTTTAAAAATAAGCATTTTTGAATAACATTAGCACTGTCAGAAGGTTGTACTTAGAAAGGCCTCTCCCTCAGTGGTTTTATTTTTGACAGCTGAAAGTCTGCAGTTGTCTGTGATTTAAAGGTACCAGTCAGAGTAGCCGACAGAAGACAGGGCCATCTAGTGGTAACTACAGCCAGAAATCACCCTCAGAGCCAGACTTGAAAAAATGGACTGTATTCTCAGTCCATGCCTGAGTAGCTGGGCAGCAGTCTGTCATGCCCCACAGAGGAGGTGCTGGTTGAAAAGTGTGCCCCGGCCTTCACCCCATTTGCCTTGCCTCAGTGAGCTTGAATTCTGCACCAGGAGGCGGGCAAAGCTGGCCACTAGGCATGTGTGACCTCTGGTGCAGTCATACACACTGTTGAGTCACACGGTTGTATTACACATATATCACACCGCCTTGTTAGAAAGGCATTCATTTAGTGCCCTATACTTCAAGGTGGGTTTCTTGCATTGAATTAAAACTCATTACATAGTATTCTTGTACTTCCACAAATTAAAATTGCCTCATTTTCAGTACCATTTAATTCACTGTGTGGAGACTGCCCAGTACAAAACCCCCACTAGGCCTGAAGTCTCTGACACACTGGAGTTAGAGGGGGCATCCTTGGTGTTGCCAGATGAGCCACCCCTCCTGGGTTATTCTGCAGTTGCCCCATCTGATCCCCCAGACATTGATCAAGTGGCTATTCTATTGTGTGCTGGTGTTTGCAAAGATTTGTAAAACCCAGTCCCTGCCCTCAAGAAACTTACAAGTGAAGAAGGGGGTAAGTACACAAATAACAACAACACAGGGAAAATGTGCACAATTGCATTCTTGTACAAATGCGCACTCTTAGCAGGGGCACAAATAAAGTGTTTTAAGCCATGAGAGAGGACGTAGTCACTGTCAGTTGTTTGGTTTCACTTGACTGGGAGGGGTCACAGAAGAGGTGCTGCATGAGCTGGGACTCAGGGAATGGGCAGGGGACCACCAAAATGTGGTCCAGGTGAGCTGAAGCCATGAAAGTAGGTCTGGTTAAGGTGAAGAGGAGGGGTGGGGTGTCCCAGAGGGTCCAGTCACAGATGAGGCTAGGAGAGGTTGGGCTCCAAGCCTGTGGGGCCTTGGATGACAGAATAAGGAGCCTGTGTGTTATTCTGATAGGCACTGGGCATCCCCAAAGTTTCTGATTCAAGGAATAATGCAATATAGTAGATTTCTCATCAAATACTACAGTCAAAGCAGTGTTTGGAAATACAAATCTGATAGTAATGTGGACAATGAGGTAATGGAAGTAAGAAAGGAAAAGAAGTGACAAATGTGAAAGGTAATTTGAAGAAAACATGATCTGGGGACCGATAAGATGTGACTCAAAAGAAAATTAAGCTTGGGATACTTGAAGATAAGAAAATAAGCAGGAGGAATTTTGGAGAAGGCCTAATTCAGTTTTAGACATCCTCAAAGAGACAAAAGGAGACATTCAACTCTAAATGTCCGGCATGTAGCCCCAGGCCTTGGGAAGAGAATTCTGGAGATAGAAAAGTCAAGGCCAGAGCTATAAACTGAAGTTTCCTGCAGAGGCAAGATCTAGGAAAAAGACACGCACCCAAAGAAGAGTGCAAAAGACAAAATTCACCAAAGGCCCAGCTTTAGAGGGCAGAAAACCAAGGGATATTCAGCTATAAAAATGCAGATGACAATCACTTAAGAAGGAAGGAGCAGATAGATGCTGGAGGACAGGATGCTACAACAGTGAGAGAAGGGCAGTGGTTTTCATGAGGGGTGACCTTTGAGAAAAGACTGCGGTAGAGTGAAGGAGGGGAGGAAACCACAGCACACACTGCTAGGAAGAGTGTGGGATGAAGAGAGTGCAGGCGAGGACCTCGATTACCCTTTTAAGGGCTTTCACAGTAAAGTGAAGGAGACGCAGCACGGTAAGTCAGGCAGCCAGCAGTGTCCAGGATGTGCTGATTCCGCATGGGCTGGGGGGGGAGGATGAAAACAGATTACATAAAAAGTACAGAATGAAGATCGAGGGGTAGGATCTGGCAGCATGAGGGAGGGAGATCATTTTCCAGAGACACTGAGAAGCCCTTTTCTCAAGATAGGAGAGATGAGAAGGGAAAAAAAAAAAAAAAAACTGAGGAAAGATAGAGATGTTTTAAGACAGAAAACAGGGAAACTGGGGAAATTCATGCCCTGGAGCTTTCTTGTTACAGGAGGAGACAAGAATAAATGCTGAAAGTCAGGGGGTACTCAGGGGACTGGGGCTAGAGGAATGAGAGACAGGGCTTAGGTATTGAGTCCAGAAAAGATTACTACCAGAAGGGTTCACTGAGGTTGGGTGGCTGGCTTTATAATGGACCTGATCTTAGAGATCCTGACCATGCAGGTGACACTCAGTGAGGGCATCTGGAGGTGGAGGGGCTGTGTAGAGCTGGCAGGTCCAGTGATTCTCAAGTGCTACTGAAAGCACGCATAGCAAGAAAGGTAGGGGGCGAGTGAGGCCACAAGGCAGCAGGTCACCTGGGAGCTAGGAGAGGTAGAGAGACCCATGGTCTTGATGAGGGCCAGGGACGCGGAGGTTAAGAAGTCCACAGTCATTAGGTTATTAGCAACCACTTTAGTTACCTGGTCTGATGGACAAACAACATCTTAAAGTAATTGGAGAATGAAGCAAGAACTGATTTGTGTGCCTTGAAGTATACATCGCCGATTGCAACCGTGCAGTCACACAGGAAACCAAACTCTCGCTGAGCGTTTAACTGTTGCAGCAGAATAAGTCCATGGTTGGCCAAATCCATTTTTTAAAAAATCTGCAAAGCAAACAATTTTATTTTTAAGAAGGTGATTCACAAATAAGAATGTGTCCTTTACAGTCACCAACAGTCACGATCATAGCGAACATGTCAGCATAGCTAATGTGTCAGGCACTGCTAAAAACGTTACATAAATTAACTCATTTAGTCTTCCTAACAGTGACCTGAAGTAGTTATGTCATTATGCTCTTTTTTTTTTTTTTTAAGCAAATGATGTTATTTAGAGTAAATTAGGGAATTACATGATTTGCCCAAGCTCACACAGATGGTAATGGAGAAACCAGGAAATGAACTCAGGTGATCTGCCTTAATTTAAGCATCAAGTCCTGGAGACAGACAGCAAAAATTTTAGACCATCGAGTTTTTTTTTTTTTTTTTTCCTGAGATGCAGTCTTGCTCTGTCGCCCCGGCTGGAGTGCAATGGCGCAGTCTTGGCTCACTGCAACCTCTGCCTTCCGGGTTCAAGTGATTCTCTTGCCTCAGCCTCCCAAGTAGCTGACATTACAGGTGTGTGCTACCACGCCTGGCTAATTTTTGTATTTTTAGTAGAGTCAGGGTTTCACCATGTTGGCCAGGCTGGTCTCGAACTCCTGACCTCATGATCCGCCCACCTCGGCCTCCCAAAGTGCTGGGATTCCGGCCATCTAGTCTTTTAGTTTAAAATTCCAGATGCAAATGGAGTCTTTTAGTTTAAGATTCCAAACGGAAATTCTAATGAGGCATCAGAGCTCATAATTCTTTCGCAGAGATAGATAAATGAAGGTGTTGGGGTGGGGTTCCAGCAGGGTGGGGTGAGAATCAGTAAGTCTAGGGGCAAGAATCCAGCTCCTGCTGTGTGCTCCTCTGGTGATGTAACAGCCTCATCACCGCTGACCCTTAACACTCACCGAGGAAGTAGGGTTGGGGCTCTGCCTCCTTTTTTGTGGAGGAGGAAATGGGTTTTGAGAAGTATAAGTAATTTGCCCCAGGCCTTCTAGCCAAAAGGTGGGAGGATCAAAATTTAAATGTGATTGTTCTGTTTCCAAATTCTATGATTTTCATTATTCACACCTGACCCTGGCAAACCCCACTGGCCTGAGTCTATTTATAACAGAGAGGCAGCCTGACATTCTATGGTCCATCAAATCACTAGACTACTCCTTTTCCACAAAGAGCATTTATAAAAGCCCATTACACACAGACCAACATTATAGTTAACGTTATACTTCATGGTAAGGAAGGGTGAATACCTTCTCTGCAAGATTGGGAACAAGGCAAAGATGTCTCCTCTTGCTGTTCAACACAGCACTGGAAGTACTAGATTGTGCAAAAAAGCAAGACAGGAAATAAAAAGCATACGGAAAAAAAGGAAAAACAAAATTGTCCCTATTTGCAGATGACATGCTTGTAATACAGAAAGTCCCAAGGCATCTATCGTAGAACTAATAAATGAGTTTGGCAAATCATAAACATACCAGAAAAAAAAAAATCAATTGTAATTCTATATACTAGCAATAAACATGTGGACTGAATTAAAAAGTTAATACCATTTGAAATCATTCAAAAAATGAAATACATGGGTATAAATCTAACAAAACATGTGCAGGACTTGCATTGAAAGCTGTAAAACACTGATGGAAGAAATAAAAGATCTAAATAAACAGATAGGTATACTATGATTATGGATAGGAAGACTCAACATGGTAAAGATATCAATTTTCCCAAACTGACATACAGGTTTGATGCAATTCCCATAAAAATCCCAGCAAGATTTCTTTGCAGATATAGACAAAATTATTTTAACATGTACATGTTAAGGCAAAGGAACTAGAATAGCTAAAATTATATATATAATAAAATTATATATAAATAATATATTTATATATGTATTATATATTATATATATTATATATTTATACATATATATTTTATATATATATAATATATATATACACACACATATTTTTTAGACAGAGTTCTCACTCTTGTTGCCCAGGCTGGAGTGCAGTGGTGCAATCTCAGCTCACTGAACCCTTTGCCTCCTGGGTTCAAGTGATTCTCCTGCCTCAGCCTCCTGAGCAGCTGGGATTACAGGCATGTGCCACCAAGCTCCACTAATTTTTTTGTATTTTTAGTAGAGACAGGGTTTCACCATCTTGGCCATGCTGGCCTCGAACTCCTGACCTCAGGTGATTCACCCACCCTGGCCTCCCAAAGTGCTGAGATTACAGGTGTGAGCCACCACGCCCGGCCTAAAATAATTTTTAAAAAAGAACCATAAAGTGGGAGAAACCAGTTTACCCAATTTCAATATGTAGTATATTCTACAGTATTCCAGACTGTGTGGTATTGGCAGAGGGACAGACAAGCAAATCAATGGAACAAACAAAATTGTGAACCCAGAAGCAGACCCACATAAATATGCACAACTGATGGCTGACAAAGTACAAAAACAATTCAGTGGAGGAAGAATAAGCTTTTCAACAAATGATGCTGGATCAATTGGACTTCCGGAGGCAAAAAAGAAAAAAAGATAAAGAACCTTGACATTTAAGTCCCATACATTATATAAAAATCAACTCAAAATGGATAACGGGCTTAAATGTAAAACCCAAAACTATAAAACTTTAGGAAACAACATGTAAGAAAACCTAAAATCTAGGGCTTAAGAGCTTTTACACTTGACATCAAAAGCAGAATCCACAAAATGAGAACTAAACTGAACTTCATCAAAATTAAAAACTTTTGCTCTCTGAAAGACCTTATTAAGAGGATGAAAACACAAGCTCAAAGACTAGGAGTAAATATTTGAAAACTTTTGCAAACTAGTCCTTTGACAAACGATTAGTATATGGAATATACAAAGAACTTTCAAAACTTAACAGTAAAAAAGCAATCAAATTAAAAAATGTGTAATAGACTTGAGACATTTCACAAAGAGGATATACAGACAGCAAACAAACACATGAACAGATGTTTGAAACCACTAGCCACTAGGGAAAAGCAAATTAAAACCACAGCATCGCTGTGCACCTATCAGGATGGCTAGAATAAAAACCAGTGATAACATGGTGGCAAGAGTGTGGAGAAACTGGAACATTCATATACCGCTAGTAGGAATGTAAAATGGTACAGCTACTCTGGAAAAGAGTTAGCAGTTTCTTAAAAAACTACCACCTGACCCAGTAATTGCACTCCTGCTTATCCCAGATAAATGAAAACTTATGTTCACACAAAAACCTGTGCAGGAACGTCCATAGCAGCTTAATTCCTAACAGTCAAAAACTAGAAACAACTCAGATGTCCTTCAATGACTGCATACACACACTATGGTATGCCCACACAGTGGAAAACTACTCAGCTATAAAGAAGAAATGAGGCTGGGCGCGGTGGCTCACGCCTGTAATCCCAGCACTTTGGGAGGCCGAGGCGGGTGGATCACGAGGTCAAGAGATCGAGACCATCCTGGTCAACACGGTGAAACCCCGTCTCTACTAAAAATACAAAAAATCAGCTGGGCATGGTGGCGCATGCCTGTAATCCCAGCTACTCAGGAGGCTGAGGCAGGAGAATTGCCTGAACCCAGTAGGCGGAGGTTGCGGTGAGCCGAGATCGCGTCATTGCACTCCAGCCTGGGTAACAAGAGCGAAACTCCGTCTCAAAAACAACAACAACAACAACAACAAAAAAAAAAAAAAAAAAAAAAAAAAAAAAAAAAGAAGAAATGACCTATGGATAACATACAACAACTTGGGTGAATTATACTCACTGAAAAAAGCCAATCCCAAAAGATTATATACTTTATGATTACACTGATATAATATGTGTGAAAATTATGGAAATGGAAAACAGACTAGTGGTGGTGGGGTGTGGGGTAGGGGGTGGGCATGGCTATGGAAGGGCAACATGAGGGATCCTTGTGGTGACGGAAATGTTCTACATGTCAAAATCCTGGCTGTGACACTCTACTATAGTTTTTTGCAAAATGTTTTCATTAGGGGAAGCTGGGTAAAGGGTTATGGGATCTCTGTATTATTTCTTGTAGCTGCATGTGAATCTGTAATGATCTCAAAATCAAGTTCAATTTTTTTTTTTTTTTTTTTTTTGAGACGGAGTTTCACTCTTGCAGCCCAAGCTGCAGTGCAATGATATGATCTTGGCTCACTGCAACCTCCACCTCCCGGGTTCAAGCGATTCTCCTGCCTCAGCCTCCTGAGTAGCTGGCATTATAGATGCCTGCCACCACACCCGGCTAATGTTTTTTGTATTTTCAGTAGAAGCGGGGTTTCACCGTGTTGGCCAGGCTGGTTTGAACACCTGACCTCAGGTGAGCCACCCACTTCAGCCTCTGAGGTGCAGTGCTGGGATTACTCCGAGGTGGAGTGCTAGAATTACTCTACTCCGAGGTAAAGTTCTGGAGGTGTTGGGTGAAGTGCTGGGATTACAGGGGTGAGACACTGTGCCTGGCCAAATTCAATTTTTTAAAAGCCTACTACACATTAATTAATTGACTACATTTTTAAAAAGTGAGTATGCTTAACTTCACAGTTAAGCATGCACTGTGGAGAATGCATGATCAATAAGCTTAAAAAAAATGAAAGTGGACCCACAGCAACTTTAAAAAAATTTTATTTTTGTTTTTTAGACTAGTCAAGTGCAGTAGTGAAAAGGGAGAATAAAGCAGAACAAAGAGTTTGATCTGTAACTCAAAAATCAATTGAGATAACTCACTACCTTTTGACCAGCCATTCACAGCAATTCTTAATCAGCACATGCTAGACTTCCTACTCTTCTTCCTGCTCTAGGGATGTTCAGGCAGATTCAGAAATTAACAAGTATGCCCTAAAATAGACAAATGTAATGGAATAATACTTTAAGAGACTGATCAGGTCACAAATCAGGAATCCAGATTGTCAAATTTTATATTTTCTACCATGAGTCATATCCAAGCATGAGATAGGAGAGTCATCCAATTTTGCAACTCATTTAAGTATAAAGACCTAGACTGTTGTCTCATG